AAAACAAAATACTTGCACCAATTAGTCCAATATAATTTTAATTGTTACCAAAATTTTTTTTTTTTTTTTAATTTACAGACACTGTTCACATCTTACTACCGTCGGACTTCCGTCAAACGGTCGCCGGAGACTCGTCGGAATGTTTAAAACATGTTATGAAACTGTAAAATTTTACAGTTTCATAACATGTTTTAAACATTCCGACGAGTCTCCGGTGATGTTGAACATTCCGACGAGTCTCCGGCGACCGTTTGACGGAAGTCCGACGGTAGTAAGATGTGAACAGTGTCTGTAAATTAAAAAAAAAAAAAAAAGGATTTTTTGGAAACAATTAAAAATGTATTGGACTAATTGGTGCAAGTATTTTGTTTTGGGATTAGCTGGGTTTTGAACTTAGTACATGAGACTTATCAGTAAGTTCCCCTAGATTCAAAAAGAGATTGGATTTGGAATATTTAATTAGACGGTCCAAGTCGGCCCATTATAGATCCTTTTTCATGATCCAAACAGTTTAAGTTCCTGTTAAAATAAGAGATAAGAGAATTAAGCCCCTCTAAGGTTGTGTTTGGATTATGGATTTAGGTAGGGATATGGAAATGGATAGGGAAATGTGAGATAAATGTGAACAAAATATTACCTAAATTTTCCATCCATTTCCCTTTTTTTTTTTTCCCCCCCCTCAAATCACTGTCCAAATCCATGATCTAAACACAAGATAAGTGAGACTATTTCATGATGTAGAGATTCTAGAAACGTGCTATTAGATACATATAAAATAAAAATAAAAAACTCACTGCATTCTTTTGTTCTGTAATCATCTAGTTAATGGATTACTTTCTTGTAAAAGTGCTGACATGAGCTTGTGTTGCAGGTTTCTTATATGATATTGCAGAGGGTATCCCCAGTCACCCACTCTGTGGGTAATTGTGTGAAGCGGGTGGTGGTTATTGTGACCTCTGTTCTCTTCTTCCGAACACCTGTTTCACCTATCAACTCTATGGGTATGATAGCTTACATTGGATCTCCCACACGCTACGCTAATAATATAACAATGTTTTATCATCAGAAAAGACTGGTCTTCTCATCATTATTTTTCTTCTTCTATCGAACCCCTGAGAGATTATTGTTTTCCTGTCTTTTTCTGCAGGCACTGGAGTAGCCCTAGCTGGAGTGTTCCTGTATTCGAGGGTGAAGCGCATAAAACCAAAGCCGAAGGCAGCTTGAAGTTCTTTTGTTGAGAATTTTTGCTGGTAACTTGGGGGTTTAGATGAGAAAATAGACATTATGACATTCAATGTTTTTTTTATTTTTTATTTTATTTTGAAATGGTATCATTCTTTTACTAGGTCCCCAAAATTTTACTGGTTGCAAATGTACGTGATGATCTGGGAAAACCATTTCATGTTGTGTTTTGTTTTTTTGGATTAGCATTTGTCCAGTTATGCTGTGTTTGGTTGGGAGATTTGAGCAGTGATTTGGAAAGGAAAAAGGAAAAGTTAGGTAAAATGCGATCCTCTCTCATTTGAAAGTGGAACCTTGGATCATCTCCTTTGGTCTGTAATAATATCATACATGCCATTTGCCAAAATTTGGCCAGAGTTCAACAGGAAAGCACTCCAAACAGTTGCTATATCACATTATCACTAATCAAATTTTGGCAATTGCTAAATTTTGAAAATGAGTTCATTTGTCATCGGATGGCTGAGAATTGTGCAACAATCTCAAGTACAGAATAAGCTCAAGTACAGATTAAGAGATTAGCTTAGTGGATGAATTAAGGGATTAGCCTGGTTGAGAATTGTTTACCATTGTTCTTGTGGACTAAGGAGTTGGTCTAGTGGATGAAGCATTCTTATATATTAGTTTTGTCGAGTTTTATAATTACAGTAAGTTTTTAGAAACAAAGTAATACCCAGATGTCTATGAAACGTGTTGTTCAGGTTACAAAAATCCATATGCAATTGCGCATTTTTTCCATCATACATTGTTTAATAACAGATTGAGTAAATTACACTGATCTATCCTCGGGTATGGAGAAAATAAATGTAGTTTTACAATTTTAGTGTAAATTACATTGATCCTCTTTCTAGTAAGGTTAAAATGATTGAAATTAATACAAAGTGTGAAATCACAATAGTAAACATGAAAAAACATATATTTCAATGTAAAATTTGACATTATCATTTTTTTATTTGTATGATTAACGAATTATTGATGAAAAGGGAGTTGCATGAAGCAAAATCTTAAGAAATTTTAATGTAATTATGTTAAACTTGATGTATTTTTCCAAATTGTAGGAGAGTTCAATTTACCCTTAACTGATAATAGAGTCAATGAACCATAATTTTCATAGGAAAGGGTACCGATGACTTGAAATAGCCAGGAATGTTTGATAACAGATTCCAGAGCTAATGAACGGTAATCTTCAAATTCACATGACTTGGCTCCTGTCAATACTGCAAGTTTCTCTAGAAAGTATGACGCAATTACTTTAGCAAAAGATCGTTGTTGTAAAGGCAGTTGCCCCCTCTTAAAAGTTTATTATTACTCCCTCTGTTCCAAAATAATGGTCTTTTTTGGAGAATTGAACTTTTTTTGGTAGTACAATTATTACATTTGAAAAAAGTTGATTTTCTAAAATTATCCTTTTGATAGTACATTTTTTGGGAATATCAATGTCATAATTATACTTTTTATATTGTTTATTAATTTAAAAGAAGGGCAAAATAGAAAATTTATATTATTTTTGTACTTGATTTTTGAAGAGGGACTAATATTTTGGGACAATGAAAAATGGAATAAGGGACTAATATTTTGGGACGGAGGGAGTATTATTTTTTAAGTTGTCATCTTTTTTACCTTAAAATAAAAAAAAAATTAAAAAAAAGTGGTTGCCCTTTAAATCTATGAGACATAGGATAAAAATATAAAATTAAAAAAATTGGATAAAATATAATAAAAGAAATTAATTTCTTATAAAGGAGACCCACGCTCCTCTCTTCCCCTCATATGCTGTCACTCCCTCTCTCTCTCTCTCTTAAACACTAGTTGGATCCCTACGCAGTTGAAAATAAGATGTTCTGCAAGGTATAATATTATTAAGGTGTTTTTAAATAATTTGAAGATCGTAATATCAAAATAAATAAACTTGATTAGATAAAAAAATAAAAAAAAAGTGTTTAAGAGTCTTAAATTCAAAATATGTATTCATATATAGAAAAAAAAAAAATTATAAATCAAAAAATCACATATCAGATTGTCTTGTTTGAGAGCTGATATCACAGAGAGAGTATATGTGGTTTTATATAAAATTGGTCACCGTCACACAGGAAGCTATGTAACCACCACATTACATGGAAAGTCATCTGTTGGATACTAATTTGGCAACCTGACATTTGCAGATTTCTTTTCCAGCACATGATCAAGCTTCAGTCTTCGGGTCCCACTATGGATGGTATCAAAAAGTGGTATTTGGTACCATACATGAAAATCATTTTGAACCATTAGATTTGAATCTTTAAATCTTAGCCATTCAAAACCAAAACAAGTTAGGTTAAAATAAAAAATAAATAAAAGAAAGTAATCGGTTACCACCGGTCAATAAAAACTCTCTCTCTCTCTCTCTCTCTGTCTTCTGTGAGTATGCAACTCTCTTGCTTTTATCTCGAAACTCGGAAAATTTTATTATATATGAAAATAGTTTTTATGTATAGTAAATAAAAAAAAGTATAGATTATTAGATTTAGACAAGATAAATACTAATAATTGGATGAATCAAAAGTAAAGTTAAGTAAAAAAACGTAAGATGATTTTCTAAAAAGTAAAGGAGCTTTGGTTAATTTTGAAATTAAAAAAATAAAATAATGATAACTTATCATTTGCTATGAATATTGGTATTCACTCACTTACTATTTGTTATGAATAAATTTACCATTCAAAATATTACCTGTTAAACAAATCATCTTCAATTCTTGAAAATAGTGTCATCTTTTATATTTTAAATTAATTTTAAATACATAAACTAATGACATACCATATTTAATTATTTTTCTCTATAGTTTGTTTTATTATGATTTGTAGAAAGTAAAATATGATATGTAAATATTAATTTATTAAATTTGTTAAAATTTACTAATTATTTTTCTCTATGCATGGCCTTATCCTCATCGGTGATTACGGACAGAGGCATATTATGATCCATCACATCAAAAAATGTCTCTAACACCCATATGTATATCTCTACTGTCTCGAAAGCCAACAGTGCACACCCAAAAATAGTCGTTCGAAAGTGGTTGCTCACACCTTATAGTATTACAAAAGGTTTGTTGTACGCATTTGTCCGATACGTAGTATCAAACATCAACACATCACCAAAACACAGATAATCTATTCGAGATCCACCGTTTGTCCAAAATAAATTATTTAATTGATTTTCTTCATCTACATCATATTTATAACAAAACATTAGATCTTGTCCTTCTTTACTACATGAGTAAGCCAAAGCACCTTCTCTTTCACCATTGATAACTTGTGCTCTACGCTCAGTCCCAAAATGATTATACATGCCCTTTGTATGAACCCAACATTCTCATAGCCACCAGCTTGTTGTGCAACAAAGTCCATAATGTGACTTGTCCTCATACCAATACGATGCATTGCATTGCTATGTGCCTTGTCGGCACTCGTAACATTCCGGTGTGAGCGAAGAAATTGAACACCAAGAGGCCTATAGCATTCCTGGTTTAGACCTGACCCATTGATGTTTTGAATCTAGGTTTCATTTGTCTTATTTAGATATTCATTCCGTGTTTCTCCTTATTTCTCATTGAGTTTGGTTATTGGAGTGTCTTGGTGGTGTTTGGAACATGTTGGTTGCTAGTTGGTCGAAACTATTGTTATCCTGAATCTGGCCTCTTCGCTTGAGTTAAGCTTTTTGCGCTCCAGTGAGCCTTTTGAGCTTCCAGTACTTTTGCAGGCCAGCAAAGATACTAGGGAGGTAGTATTCTTCGCTCAAACGAGATTTCTTGCGTTCAAGTGACGGTTTTCTGTCTGTAAAACTTCTGGAAGATTGTATTCTATGCTCAAGCGAAGATTCTTGCGCTCGAGCGAAACAACTTATCGTGTCTGGTCGCTCGAGCGACAATTCTTGCGCTCAAGCGAACTGTGCGTATATCAGTTCGTAAATAGGTCATTTGACATCACTTTTTCATCTCTCTCTCTAAAACATTTCAAAACCCTAAGTTGAGACTCTCTCTCTTTAAGATTCACCCTCTCTCTATAAATATACCAAGATCTACCCATTTCTCCACCCTACTCCCTTTGTTAAAAAGGTAGAGCTCATCTAGAGCTTCGTTTTCATCCGAATAAAGTTGGGTTTTGGCTTCATCCAAGTTTCATCAATGTTTATCTCGTCTTTTAGCTTTGAGGTAGGGATTCTTTACACTTTTGTATGATTTTTAACTTAGTTATTTGTTTTTATAAAATAATCTTGTGATTTTGAAGAATTTTAAACAAACCTAGGGTTTTGGTTTAGAATCAAAATAAGGGTGTTCGAATGGATGTATTGAAAATGGTTGTGGGAGTGGAGATGGGGTTGAGTTGTGATAAAACTATTGGTTTTGATACTTGGAATGAAATTTTAAAAAAATAAAAGAAAAGAAAAGGGTTTTGCCCTAAATGTCTCAAATGTTTATTTTATATAAATAAATGGAATTGATGCTGGAAATGTAAAATTGGATGGATATTGATATGAATGGTGGAGTTAGATAGGTATTATCATTCCCATCTTGAAATTTGGAAAGATTATATGTATTGGAGATTTTACATTTGTTTAGAAATATCTGTTTTGGGCTATCGGTGGAGGATAACTATGATTGTTGTAGAAATTGCAAGAGGATTAGGTGAATGGAAACTAATTTCTCATCCATTTGCATTGAGCATGATTATATCTTTAATACATTGTACATGTATAATGTTTTTGAGAAAGGGAATGTATTCCATTAAACTAAGTTGGCCTGTGTATCCAGGATGAAAATCTTGAAAACTGCGCTTATACATGGATGTCGAATCCTGCGGACCAGAATTATGATTCACTGCCCTGTTTTCTAATGAAAAGAAGATGATTCTTGAATTGTGATATAAATTGGACATTACATGGTTTTGAAAAGAGAAATGAGACATTTTTGTCATGAGCATTGCATATGTATTTTACCCACATGTCTTTGTTAAGGTTCATATATTGCGTTGGATTATTTTTATTGGGTTTTGGCTCACCGTATACGGAAAAACCATTTTCAGGTGTTAGTGAGATGCCTCTGTCAGGGCAGTAGCTTGGGAGGATTGGAGCAAAAGCTTCATTTTTGTTTTCTTGCTGTAATTATTTTGTACAAGTCTAGGGCTTTATCTGTATTAGATTTAAATCCATTTTGATGTAACCAAGTATAGTCTTGGAAAGTTATAGCCTTCAGGGCATTTTAGTTATCTGTTTAA